AAGTTGAGGAAGAAAAGAGAAATGTAAAGGTTGTGTATTAGGTATTCTTTAAAGGTGTAGTAGGTATTCTTTAAAGTAGTTTGGATGAGAAAGGAAGAAGGAAGATTGGGTAGTAATGGTAGTTTAACTGCGACCATGAGAGTATTCCCTGGGTGTTATAAAAGATTAAGTGTTTGACCATCAGTCAAAAGGTTAGCGGATTGAATCACAGAGATTTCTAGGAAAACAGACCCGGTGGCCTGCTTCCAAAAGGTCACAGTGTTGAAAACCCTAGAAAGGAGTTCCATTTACACACACGGTTATCAGGAATCAGAAATGGTTTGTGGCAGCTACTAGCAACAACAAGCTATCCCTACGCAGAGATGTATGGTTTGGCATAAATACTGTACTCTTTATATTTATGTAGATTGTCCATTTAATCCAAAATATAAATGTAAGACAGGTAACATACTAAGAAGTAGTTGTTTTTGAAAACAAGCGTGGCAACTCCAAAGCCTATGTATGATAGAATATAATCTACAAGGCAATAGAAAGCAACCTTATATTTAAGGAGAAGGTCTTTTGTTTGGCTGGGTTTGCTTGCAGTTTGAAAAAATTAAGTATACCATCTTGAAATAAGATAGTTCTACTTCATTCTTTCAAATCTATATAACTTTTTTTCCTTTATACATATTGTGAAATGTAGACTAAAAACAGTTCTAAGAATTAACCGATATTAGGTTTCCATTGCACCATTAAGTATTATGTAAGCTGTATGCTTTCCATATATCCCATTTATCAAATTGAGGATTGAATCTGATTCGTTTTTGTCATAAGTGGACACTAAATAACCTCCCTGGAGAAGGGCCTCCTGCCTGGTAAAGTAGAGGGTCAATAAAATGAACTGACAGTGGCTGCACAATGGACTCAAACATAATCACTTTGAAGACAGTGCAGGAAGTGGCAATGTTTCATTCTGTTGTAGAAAGGATCACTATGAGTCAGAGGCAACTTGACAGCATATAATAACATTTCATTTTAGAATGTTAAACTAAGTTAGTATTCCTGGAATAAACTCCACTTTAGATAAATGTTACTTTTACCACAGTGGTACAAAAAGCTGATATACAGTCATCATTGCATGGTTAATCTCCATTGCAAAATGACATTATTTGTCTTTTTCTTAAGTTGGAGGCCTACTTTCCTGTTTCTTCGTGTACCTAATAATTTTCAGTTATCCCTGTACATAGCAAAAAATGTTGTAAATAGTTCAGTTCTATTTCTGAGTTTTATTTTTGTTTTCAGTTCACTTGGCTGCATTCAAACTTACACTCTCTGTCCCTGTGGTAGACGGCATCAGGGATCTCAGATACACTCACATGAACAGTTCAGAAGTTAGCGTGTGTTTTGAAGAAAAGATGTGTACAGTGTCCTCTGTGGCTCATTCCTTTCCAGGAACTCCCTGTTACTTCCACCTAATGTATAACCCTATACTTGTCTTCTGCATCTTCAAATATGTTGGATTAAGGGTTTAGGGCACCAGTTGCACTGGAGTGCACCAATTCAGGCAAAACTATGTTAAATTCAGAAACTCATTTTCTTTTAGTGACATTCTCTTTATTCTCTCTTTCCTGTTTTCATTCTAATGCTTTCTTGCAATTAATTTTAAAATTATTTTCCAAACGTTGTATTTTTCATAGAAGGTATCTAGTCCCCTAATAGAGGGGAAAATCTCCAAAGTGTTTATGATAATTTTATGACACTATATCTGACATCTTTTGAATGGAAACTGCCCATGCAAAGTCAAAATTAGAGTTATCTTTTCATTTTTCCTAAATTTGGAAAATAAATATATGCATGCCATTGAATTATAAAAGAATATCATATGGGTATTTCAAAAATAGTTCCTGATCTAGGCCTATCCTGCTAATGTCTACTAAATTGAACACCAAGGGAAAAAGCTAACTTGTTACTTAGTTTAATCTTTCTTTTGTTTTATTTTTTTGTTTGTTTGTTGGGTTGTTTTGGTTTTGGTTATTTTGTAACAAACTTGGTATGCCTCTTATTACAAGTGAAAAGATATATAATTAAAAAAACAAAAAAGCATTGTTGCAAAAAATTCCAAGGGAGCACTGATAGTCCTATTACTTCTAAATTTATTTTCAAAAAGAAAAAATAATTTATAAATTCAATGAAAGAGAAGGAACAGGGAAATTTACTAGTTACAATTGACTATAGAGTGTAAATGAGCTTATTCTTGAGAGATATGCTTAAATACTATACATTATTAGATAAATCAAATTACTTTCTTACCTTTTGACAGCTTCGATCAATAGGATCCACTGGAGTAGATCTTGGTTGGGTTACCCTAACATCATCTCTTCCACATTCCAGATTGGTCCATAATTCAGTTATAAGTGCATTAATAAACCCTAAAAGAATTGTTTAATGTATTACTTATAGTATTGATAGTTCTTTGGGTTATAGACTAAATATGACTCTCTTTAACAAGACAGGCACAGTCTGATAATTCCTTCTATTCATGGTCAAAATGACATGTGCAATTACTTATCTACCATAATACCTTACTACTACAAAACTGTGGAATGACTAAATTCTGAAAGACTCTTTCCTCAGAGAATTGCTGAATTATGACTGCCAGCGTCTATCCTTCCACGAATAACTTCTCTGAGTGTGCTTCTTTCCAGAAAAACTTCCAAGTTCTATGTGCTCTACCAATGAATCCGCAGTATAAAGTAGGCTAAAACGTTTTTCGTGTACATGTTTGTGGCTGTGGGAAGGGGAGAGGGGGCTTGCAGAAGGCGATGGATGACAGTGGAAAACATCTGTCAGATCTACATATGGAATAAACCTCCAGCGATTTCCTTCTGACCATAATTGAGGTATGGGAAGAACCTGGTTATCGGACAGAGCATATGGTAGAGATGATTATAGTAGATTAAAATGATAAGTCTGACTTGAATGGTTAAAATCTTGCCATTTTATCTCCCTTTTTTTTTTTTTTTCTTTTCAGTATGGGATGGGGGCGCTGGAGCCTGCGAGGAGCAAGCTGGCCCCAAACTTCTCCAAATCCACATTTCTTTGCCTCCAATTCTTACGTGTTCATCTCCCTTTTGATATACGTCAAGCTTGATTGGTTAGATTAGTATTTTCTGAGGGTTTTTTCCTTTTCAAATTGGGATTTATCTTTTGTATTTTGATATTGTTGGTAGCCTTCTTGACTCTGTTATGCATGTTTCTGTTTTCCAGTATATGAACTCCAGATTAGGTGAACCTCTAAAGACAGTAAATAGAATAAGGGTTCCTGGGGAGTCCAACCGGGGAGGCAGTGGAGGCTGATATCAAGGAGGACAAGAAGAAAGAAAATGCTTTGAAAATGATCATGGTAGCAATTGTACATATTGCTTGACATGACTGAACTATTGAATGGTACAATGTCTAGATTATGTCCTAATAAAATGATTTGGAAAAAAATTAAAATAAAAATGTGTACCCTTACTTCAATGTAATTATTTTTCCTTTTTATCTGTGCTTAAAACAGTTCTCCATTTTGTACCTGTTGCCTCAGTGCAATGCATGTTCTCATGAATCAGACATTACGTATCTAAATGCAATGGATAAATATCATTATTCGATCCCTATATGAATAATAAAATAATATATAAAGGTACAAAAACATAACACCTATATACTAGAAAGTATAAAACCATAATAATTTCAGAACAGTGCAAAAGTACTTAGAGTGTAAAAAAAAATTGGGGTCTCAAATCCAGAATTCCAAGTTCTTTCTTTCTTTCTTTTTGTTAAAAATTCCAATTTAATTCTATTCTGCAATTTTATAAATTCTTAGGAAAAAATTCAAATTCTTTTGTCTCTGTTTCCCCACCTAGAAATGCAAACATTAATAAATTCCAGGTTGCTGTGAAGTATAAATAAGATGATAAGTGTCTTAAGTGCTAAGACATTACAGAAGTTTAAACAATATTAATCCTCTTTGTGTTATGTTTTTTTTTTAAAGTGAATTTAACCCTGCAGTGAAAAAGTTGATACTATGAAACTCAGAGGCTTAATGATTTGACCAAGAGCATGAGAGGAGCTTAATTCTAGAGACTCCAAATAGCTATCACTAATATATACCTAAAAACTACAATGAGTTCCATTTTGTTTCACTGCCCCGAGGGGTGGCTCTGAGTTGGGCTTGACTCAAGGACAGGGAATGTTTTGAAATACACGTGGTTTAGTCGCCTGAGGATATATTCATGCACAAAGTCCAAACCAGAGGATGGTGAGGGGATCTTCTGAGCCACTTCCATTCAAGATGGGATTTTTCCATCACAATATACCTGCTCATTGTCTGAAGGCAATAAATGCTATCATACATATCAAAAGAACACATTTTGAGTCCCTAAATAATGCCAAAGTTGTCATTTTGACATAAACTAAAAAGTGCATAATTTGGGGGGAAAGGTGAGAAACATGAAAATATCACTTTCAGAAGTGTATAGCCCTACAGGAAGTATTTGTTGAGAAATAATAACTACATATATTGATATTGTTGTTTAATAAAGGTATCTATAACTTGGTGGTGATACTTTTAAACTTACTCTTGTGTATAAATTTGATACTTTAAATATTAAATTCTTAATGTTTTAAACGTCATGAAAATCCAGAAGATAGTGCATAATGTACAACCAATTGCAGGCTGCAAAGAAAGACAAGGAACAGAGATTCCAACCTAAGAACAGAAGATAGAAGAGTGATTGCACTGTGAAGCAATCAGCTATTGAAATGAATAGCTGTGTAACATTGTCTTATATACTGCTGGATGGTGAGTCCCTTATATTGGAAGGCATGCAAAATAAGATTGGGGAAGAGCTGCCCATAAAAGCAGTCAACCTTAATGATGTGGAGGGAGCAAATATTTCAGGATCTTTATTTGGTGATGAGGCTTGATTAAAAATTACAGGAAAAACTACAAACATACATTAATAACCAAAGTATGGAATACATGACATATGAATATAATAAAACTGAATGTCATCAAAACTGAAATGGAGTGGATAAAGGTCAATATCGTAGGTATTAATGGATTGGTATGGGCCATTTCGAGTCAGACAGTCACACACTAACTAACTCCTTTAGTCTGAAATTGCTCAAACATGTACTAATAATTACTGGTGATTAGAATACAAAAGTTAGAAACAAAAAGGAAGACACACTAGTGAGAAAATATGACTGTGATAAAAATGAAGGATGATGGAATTTTGCGAGATGAACAACTTCTTCATTGCAAGTACCTCTCTCAATTCAACAACATAAATGGTGACTGTACGTGTGAACCTTGCCAGGTGGACTGCACTATAATTAGGTTACGGCCGTAGGAAGAGAAGGAAACCTTGGGTATAGAGGTTATGACTTGGGCGGCTCACTGCAAACAGTTCAAAACCATCAGTTGTTCCTTGGGAGAAAGACAGTCTTGGGATCTCACAGGGACCCTCCTACCCGGTTCTATAGGGTTGCTATGAGCTGGTATCAAGTGGATGGCAGTGAGTTTGGTTTTGATATGGTGGAAACAGATGATAGAAAAGCTCATGCTTGTCAGTAGAACAAATCATCAATTGTTCATATGTAAATTCAAGATGAAGTTGAGGAAAACTGAAACAAGTCCATGACAGTCAATTGTGACCTTGAGAGTGCTGTTGTTAGGTGCCACGGATCCAGTTCTGACTCATCGCAACCGTATGCGCAACAGAACAAAAACATGCATTATCCGGTGCCATCCTCACAACTGCTCCTATGCCTGAGCCAAAGCTGCAGATACTGTGTCAATCCCACTCATCGAGAACCATTTTTTCTCTGCCACTCCACTTCACCAAGAAAGATTTTCTTCTCTAGGGTCTGTCTGGTCTGCCCTGACAGTACGTCCAAAGCATGTCTTGTCATCCTTGCCACTAAGGTGCACTCTGGCCTTACTCCTTCCTAGATAGATCAATTTGTCCTTTTAGCGGTCCATGGTACTTTCAATATTCTTCACCAGCACCACAATTCAAATGCACCAATCCTTCTTCAGTCTTCCTTATTCAGTGTCCAACTTTCACATGCATATGAGGCAACTGAAAATACCATAGTTTGGGTCAGGAGCACGTTAAGTCTTCAAAGTAACATTCTTGCTTTTCACTTACTCTAAAGCGGTCTTTTGCAGCAGATTTACCCACTGTACTGTCTTCTGATTTCTTGACCGCTGCTTCCGTGAGCACTGATTGCTTCATTCTATTACATGAAGGGTCGCCATGCAGCAGAGCCTACCCTAGGGCACCTAACACCAACAATGTAAGATGTGCTGAGAGACGAGGGTATGAAATGTATTTTTATTTATGAGATAAAGAAAAGACATAAAAGCCTCAAGTATCTCCAGATTTATTTATTATCATTTTTCTAACAAGGAAAGACAGCAAGTTTGTATATTTACATACGTACACTTGCATGTATAATCATAGTTTAAATGGTGTTTAAGAAGGATTTCATGAAAGAAAGAAAAAAGAAAATCCATAATTTTAGCTTACCTAAGCTTCTCAATGAAATAAATTGACACAGTAGGTGTAACCATGGGTTTAAAAAAAAACTCTCAGAACTCAATTAGCTTCAAGTGGTGTCCAATTCATAGTGGGCTATAGGGCAGGGTTTCCTAGAACAAAACTCATTATGGGCATAAAAAGTCTCATCTTTCATTCAAAATGAAGCTGGTGGTATCAAATTGCTGATCTTATGGTTAGCACTTAACCCATAGCCCAGCGCACTACCAACAATTGTGAGGATATTGCAAGATGGAACAGTGTTTCCTCCTGTTATCCATAGGTCACCATAAGGCAGAATCGACTCCATGGTACCTAATAACATCAACATGGCACCTAATAACATCAACAAAGTCCAACTTAAGGAGCACTGATGGTACTCTGGGTTAAGCATTGGGAAGCTTAACTGCAAAGTTCAAACCCACGAAGCAATCCATGAGAGAAATATGAGTCTGTTTGCTCCAGTCAAGATCTACAGTCTTGGCAACCCTACATAAGGTAGCAATGAGTCAGAATTGACTCCAGGCCAGAGTGTTTGTTTAATAAGTTAAGGCCCAACTTAGAAAAAGGAGAGTAAATATTCTAAAAGTGCTTGTTCAATCTTCAGTTGGCTTACTTATTTTTAATAATCATAGTTCTAATAAAGAAGCAAATATTACCTGAAGTTTGTAATGCTATTGCACCTGCTGCTGTTGCTGCCACCTGAGTCACCACAACTCCATAGCCAAACTTTTCATGCCTGTTGATCTAAAGTCATAAAAAACACAAATGAAATGCAAGAAAACACAGCATGATTAGAGCTATTTTTTAAATAATTAGGATAGTAAGTCTTCCAGCAAGTAAAGATGATGAAAGCAGTCATTTGACAAACAAAAGAACTGTATCAATTATTTTGTATTAGTGGTATTTTGGGGGGGGGTGTTAAAATCACTTTATTGAGGGCTCATACAACTCATCACAATCCATACATACATCAATTATGTAAAGCACATTTGCACATTCATTGCCCTTATCATTCTCAAAACATTTGCTCTCCACTTAAGCCCCTGGCTTCAGCTACTCATTTTTCCTCTCCCTCCACACTCCCCCCTTCCCTCATGAACCCTTGATAATTTATAAATTATGATTTTGTCGTATCTTGCCCTGTCCGATGTCTCCCTTCACCCACTTTCCTGCTGTCCGCCCCCCAGGAAGGAAGTTATATGTAGATCCTTGTAATCAGTTCTAATGGTATATTTTTGACACTGTTATTTCAGATCTAAGCTCTAGTTCCAACTCGACATAGATTTTTGACCTTGAACAATTCACTTACTCTTTCATAAATTAAGCATCTTCATATATAAAATAACAGATGTAGATCAGATGAAGAATAAGACTCCTTTGTCAAATTTGTATTATTCTATTGTGTCATGTTTTAGGATTTTGCTATACATTTCCTTTATTAATATGCTTATATTAAATTTCAGTTTGCTAGCCATTGCTGTTGTTACGTCCCACTGAGCCAGGTCCAACTCATAGTGAAACTATCCATGACAGAAAAGACCACAGCCAAGTCCGGCATCCCCCTCACAATTGTTGTTGTGCGAGCGGCCATTATTGCAGCCTCTGGGTCAATCCATCTCATTAAGGATCTGCTTTTCTGCTATCTTCTGTTTTACCAGCATGCTGTCTTCCTCCAGGGATTGGCCTCCCCAGAGAACATGTGCAAAGTACCTGTCATGACTGCCATCCTCAGATCTAAGAAGTATTGTGGTTGTCCTTCATCCAAGACAGAGCTGGGTGTTTGTTTGTTTGTTTGT